ACTAGACATACATCTGACTAGACACATCGCATTAGTGGTTCAGTTCCACAGTTCCTTTGTACAGGAAGACCGTGTGTGGATGTGGACCAGTCGGGTGTTCTACCATCACAATGTATCATATACTTGACTATCACAGTGTCTACAGCACTAGGAACAGTACTAGTCATACATCTGACTAGACACATCACATTAGTGGTCCAGTTCCACAGTTCCTTTGTACAGGAAGACCGTGTGTGGATGTGGACCAGTCGGATGCTCTACCATCACCATGTATCATATACTAGACTATCACAGTATCTACAGCACTAGGAACTGTACTAGTCATACATCTGACTAGACACATCACATTAGCGGTCCAGTTCCACAGTTCCTTTGTACAGGAAGACCGTGGGTGGATGTGGACCAGTCGATGGTTCTTCCAACTCAATGTATCATGTACTTGACTATCACAGTGTCTACAGCACTAGGAACTGTACTAGTCATACATCTGACTAGACACATCACATTAGTGGTCCAGTTCCACAGTTCCTTTGTACAGGAAGACCGTGGGTGGATGTGGACCAGTCGATGGTTCTTCCAACTCAATGTATCATGTACTTGACTATCACAGTGTCTACAGCACTAGGAACTGTACTAGTCATACATCTTACTAGACACATCACATTAGCGGTTCAGTTCCACAGTTCCTTTCTACATGAAGACCGTGTGTGGATGTGGATCAGTCGGGTGTTCTACCAACGCAATGTATCATATTATGCTTGACTAGTCATATATCTGACTAGACACATCACATTAGTGGTTCAGTTCCACAGTTCCTTTGTACAGGAAGACCGTGTGTGGATGTGGACCAGTCGGATGTTCTACTATCACAATGTATCATATACTTGACTATCACAGTGTCTACAGCACTAGGAACTGTACTAGACATACATCTGACTAGACACATCCCATTAGTGGTTCAGTTCCACAGTTCCTTTGTACAGGAAGACCGTGTGTGGATGTGGACCAGTCGGATGTTCTACTATCACAATGTATCATATACTTGACTATCACAGTGTCTACAGCACTAGGAACTGTACTAGACATACATCTGACTAGACACATCCCATTAGTGGTTCAGTTCCACAGTTCCTTTGTACAGGAAGACCGTGTGTGGATGTGGACCAGTCGGATGTTCTACCACTTTCGCTCTTCGGTAACTCTTGCGTCATCCCTTCATTTTCCCCATCCACTTTGATAGCACCTGAGCAATCGCATCGACTCATCATCCACAAGATATATAGCGCAATCTTTATCTTGTACGCAATCGTAACCTATGGTGATTCGATTTGGGATTAGGTCAGACGTTCCAACTGCCTTTTGTTTGGTAATCCCGGAAAGGTGTTGGATTTTATTGTGGCTGTATGAACGAAATTTCGTGATACTTTTTTTTCAATGAATCAAAAGTTCGCGCAAAAGTACACAAAAAGTTTATGTAAAAAAACCTAAAATACAGGAGGGTAAAGTGCAATAGATATGACACGATTATAATGGTATAATGTATATTTATGTTCAATTTTAAATTATGGTCTCTTAGATGCTCAAGAGTTTCAAAACCCTCATCAATCTTCGTAAATAACCGAAATATTTATCCTTTAGAGATGGAAGTAATTTCTCTTAAATACATTTCTCCCTCTACTAAACCCACTTAAGCTTCAAATCCATTAATTTTAGGTTGGAATTTCCTTTACCAACAACAAGGAAGCTCCCCTAATACACCAACAACAATTAAATACAAAATATACTCTATGAATCGCATATGCAATCATTATATTTTCTTGTATAGTTACCAAGTTATCAAACATAGCTAATCGTTAGAAACACTGGTACTGTACCGATAAACACATGAAAAGTTGTCAATTAAGATAGTGACGCCACCCAGATGCGTATTTTTTAAAACCCGCATATGAGAGAAGGATGAGTGTAGAATAGAGTGAGATGAACAATGTAGCTTTTGTTACTGACTAGAATCAGCTGTTTCTTAGCCAGGATCATTTCATTTAAAGCCCAATCATGAGGAACAGCTGTTTCAAACCATCAACAAGCTACTCGATCGAACCGGTGATCTTTTGATTGTAGGCGAGCACTATAACTACTTACAACCCAGCCACACGAATCTGCTCCTGAGTTAAAAGAAGAAAGACAAAGGTATAGCAAAAGGCACGTTTTCAACAAGTAACCGTTAGTTACTAAACTCATGCAAACTTTCAACGTATATTAGACGTGTGCTAGCCTATCTCATGTCATATCAACAATGGTAAAGCCTTGGAGTTTTGCTTATCTTGATCGAGTAAGTCCGTGGCCGAGTTTTTAAATTAGTCGAAACAAGAGACAGACTCTGGTACAACGGGACAAGACCTTTCACCACAAACGTACCTGTTCTCCCCACAACCATGTGTTTCATTTAATGTTATAGTTTCAATTCATAACTTTGTTCCCCTTTCAAAGTGAGGCCTTTCTAGGTTAGCAGATTTAAAAAAATAATATTCTTGGGGAAATAAAAAAGTTGGGTTGTTAAGTGTTTTTCTGATAATCTGAAAGTCTAGTTCAACCCCACAGAAAAAGCTTGTCGCTTATAGTTGGAACTTAACCCAGCTGTTCTAGATCGTTGGACTTTTAATGAGGCAAAAAGACATCACAACCGGCTAAAAACAGATAATGTTGCTATGTTGTTTATTCGTATTTAAAAAAAGATATACACAAATGCGTCCCTGAGGTGATATAGTGCAATCTTCGGCTAAATTCAATCTACTTTAATGATACAGTGTATTTAATTAAAAAACCACTTGAAAAAATAAATGTTTGTATCCTAAATGATGTTTAAATTAAAACAGTAATGAGGGGCTGATAATTGTTAGTCCATAGTCAATCAGTCAATAATTTACGTAGACAACGTGTTTTACAAAAAATATTCAAAATTTAAAAGTTGTACAGTAACGTATGTGAAATGCCTCTTGGACTCGTGTATTTAAACCGCTCATAGCAATAGAAATTTAAAACATTTTAGTCCCTGAATTTTATTTTCAATGCCTGCCTTTAAGAAAATGCACTTTTAGTATTTTACTTTTCCTTGAAAGTACCAATAAATGCAGTCTGTATATCTAAAACTTACATACTTAAAAATGTAAAAATACATAGTTATTTTCTATCCAAGCATAGTAAGGGCCACCCAACCCTTTCTTACACTTACATGGAAAATTATTGAAACTGTATCCTAAATAAGTTAATACAAATCTTGTATATTTTGAATTTTCTTTTATTCTAACATAATTATGCGAAGATTTTGCAAAACGTGGCCAATGTCACTATTAGCCTACTTCACCATGTGTTGGCGTCATATGATGACGTCATCTAAATTATAAAACAATTACAGGACACATGGATTAAACAACAAAACGCCTCTCGTGGGATACGTCAATTCAAACCTAAACCTTGGCATAGAAGCTACCCAGGGATTTTCAGATTAATATTTTAGAGAAGTGTAAGCAATAACGTGGTATATACATGATGGGAATCAGAAAAAAATATTGATATATTACCTACCTACTTAAAACCATACAAAAATATTTTCTATAAAATGCATAAGTAATTTTTGGAACATCTTGACTAGCATTATAGATTATAGTGCTGTTATAAGGTGAAAATATATATCCCAACACTACTCGAACTATTTAATACACTTTTACAGTTATAATTTGCAAATGAAAATTGTAGATATGAGAAACAAGGTTGACAAGTAGATTGTAATTTTAGAGTAAAGGGGTTTAAGAGCAAAATGAACGGAAGAGAGAAAATATTAGATGAAGAAAATATGGAGGTATGGAAGTAACGACACCAGAATATTTGCAAAATCCTTCGGGGTTTTACAATAAATAAATAAACTTTATATTGGCTATCAATTTTGCTTAGTCACTTGCCAGCATTAATCCAAATTAGGAGTTAAGAGAACAAACAATAATTTTGGTAGTATTAAAATTAATCTCAAAATCAATTACTCTTTTGAAGTTGTTTATTGTTTGAAACCAAAATGTAAGAAACGGAATAATAATGACTTGTCAAAATCTTTTCAAGACTTGACCACAGTTGTTTTATATTTTTTAAGCAGCCCATGATTAATATGAAGGGAGATTCCTTCTGGCTATAAAATTAATTTAGAAAACAATCTCAACAAAAGATTTAATCAAAGATCTTCTCTCGCCTGAAGTGCCGCTCTGGTTAGGGCGTTGCCCTCCTGTGATCACCATGCTAGGAGTACCATAGGTTGGAAATTGTTGAGGTAAGTCGTTAATAGCTCTTAGACTACACATCGAGAATTTACACTGTGCAGTGGACAAATGGGATCGAATTGTAGTTATTAAATTCCAATTGCAGCATGTCACTTGACTTACAGTTAGTATACATTCAGTATAATTGAACTAATACCCCGGATTTGTAATTGATCCATTTAGCCATGACTTAAATGACATTTCATCTATTATATCTAAATGATGTCTAAGGATTACAGTAATGGGTATGATTTGGTTTTAGAACTCGAAACTGGGTATTAAATTATTATATTTAAGTTCTTCGACTAAAATACCTCTTTGATTAGAATCACAGTTCGTTTATGAATCAAACGTAATCGTTGCCTGTATTATTTTATGTGAACCTATTAAAAATGGCATTGGCAACATATCAAAACATATAAAGTAGAGTCAAAATATTTAATGGATATCTAAACATGTTTTATAGTTTGACTATATTACGTAGTGGCAATCGTTTTGACCAAACAAGGTACTAAGTAAATACTTCACTGTGTAAAATGCAGAATCAATTTCTCAAGCTCAATAACGAAAGACGTTTCTTCAAAAACTGCAATATGTAAACCAAAAACATTACAAATAATTCTAACTCCAAATTCTCTACGAAAAAATCACAACCTCTTATCAATATAGATATTTTAACTGCTATTAAATTCTTACCGATAAAATGGTAGCGCAGCAGGCAAATACAGACTTCATGATGCCAGAATATGGTTTGAACACATAATCCAATTTAGTCACTATTCACTGTCACTGTCACTGACGTTTAAATCACTAGGGCAACAGTGACGTCATATCTCTAGAAATGACAGCACCATTTCCTGCAGGGATGAATGAATGTTTTCCTGAAGAGGGCAACAAGATTAAATAATTTCCCTGATTCATCATGCGTGATATACTAAACAAATCATTAAAATGATAGCTACGAGAAATATTTTTTATGCTACTACTTTGCATCTGTGTTTAGTGCTATTTTAAAAATAATTGTTTAATGTGTGCATTAATTTACTTGACGACATGTCTTTTTTTTGTGTTGATACAAAGTTAAGTTTGAAATTGTGTTTAATTAAAAAATAAACATATAAGTGATAAACGTTTAGGATAAATCTTAGTTTTCATCAACACTGATTTATACCAAGTAAACATATTACACTGCATTTATTTTTGAGAACTATACAAGTAATTTGGACTTGTGACAGTTTCGTAAAATCAAAGAAAAACTACTTATAGTTAAAGCTCTCAATTAATCAGTCAATCACGTCCGACTCAACCTAGTTGCGCACTCCATACGCAGCAAACAATTTGGCAGCGCCTTGTAACGCGCGTCAACCCACTTCACGTTCGACGCTTTTGTTATGATCAAACCACAGCTGTGTATGCCGGTCAGAAGAGGCACGACAAGACTTTCACACCTCCCGCACACGATTAGGGGACTGGGGAACCGGGGAATTGAACCTGTAACCATAGGAACAAAGGACCAGAACTATTCACAAGTGCAATACCGTATAGATTGAAAAATAAACGGTATCAGCAATCAGACACAAACTTTCACCCATTAGCTTGTCAACAACCTTTAACATGGTTAAGACAGTATTTAACAGTTGTTTGACAGGAATTATTAATGCACTAGTTGAATAGTTGTACTATTTTGTTTAAAATTATAAGGACCATAACAAACGAATTTCAATCAGAACCAGGTTTTTTTATATTCATTGTTTCGTTTTTTCATGGGTTTTTATGGAAAAATATCATAAGTTCCAATAACTTTTGAACAGTATTTTTTACAGCAATGGGGTGCTACACTATGTATTTAACAATTAGATCATCACTTACTAATTTCTATCAAAAACGGCTTTTTACGAAATCCGATTTTCTCTTATTTTTTGGGGAAAATAACACGAGTTACAATAGCCTTTGAACAGTAATTTGTACAGGATTTCTACCATTTTGTTCACAATTGTACAACAACTCAATACAACAATATACTCAATTTGTATCAAAATAGTTCAGGCCATTTTCGAGAAAATTCGATTTTTCCGGGTTTTTGTGTGCTTTTATGGAGAAATCACCATTAAAAATCAAAATTAAAAAAAACTTAGAGATACCATGGGTTAGTACCTACATACCAAATTTAATAAAAATCTAACAACAGGTGTTGTCTGTAGCTCTTTCCACATCCAGACATACAGACAGACATACAGACACACGGACAGACATCACTTTGAAAACCACCTTTTTTGGTTCAGGGGGCCCAAAACGGATATATCCATTCAAAACTCAAACAATACTTTCTCTATGTACTATGTAGGGGGAGAAAGTAAAAATGAATTGAGGGAATCGGACTGAAAGAGTAGTCAATAAAAAACTAGGAACTGAACCGGATACTGAGATATTTCCTTTAAGGTGAGGTGGTTGAACGCTGAAGAGTCTAACAGTCAAACAACGAATGTTCATACTGAATTTGGCTACCGTAACCTGAGGAACATCAAAGCCCGCTAGTGTGTCACAACAAAGTAGACACGTTTAAATGTGAGGTGAAACATTAGGAAATCACACATTGAGGAGCCTGGAACAGGAATAGTGGACCAGGACTGATGAAATTATCATTGGTCACACATGAAAATGTGTGTGGATTACAAAACTAGATCGGATGGTTTTCAGTAAGGAACGGTGGAAACGAACTTCAGACATCGGGTCAGAGTAAAAAACCGGAACCACAAATAGGACCAAATTGTAATAAGGAAGTAGTCTTCGAGGTTAGAATGTGAACTCAGATTCTCTGTGGTGGTAATCCAAAAAACGAAGGGAACGAACATCGGATGAGACATAATCCATGAAACCACTCGTGGGACTAGAATGCATTATCCGGTACAGAATTCTTCAGTAGATAAGTGTAATCGTACCTGAGGACAGAAGGGACGAATTAGGTCATCAGAACAGAAGAATGGTCCACGAAACCACACATGTATGTGTAAAGAGTATGTTTATAGCAGAATGTCACTATAGATAGAAGTAAACCATGAACATCGGACCAAAGGGTCCACCCAGCCCACGAAAGTACGCACAGCATAAGAATGTATGTTGGAAGTCTTCTCTAGATCAAAGTTTTCAGACCCTATGCAACGAATGAAACGAACTTAGAATATCGACTCAGAGGGATGATCTACGAAACTACAGATGGAACTAGATTGTTTTAAGGGGTCTACACTATATCAAGATAATCAGAATCTGAAGAATTATACTGACGGAATGATTTTCAGAACCCCACATAGAACTAGAATTTGGTTGTCATCACTCGATATGGGAAACTAGGAACGAAGGAAATGAACTGATACCGTATCCTCACTTGGAACTAGAACGTTTTACGGAAGTCTTTACCAGATAAGGCCATCAGCATCTTGCGGACATAGGATCAGAGGAATGGGCACCGGAACAGGACCGGGAACTGGAGTATGTTTACCGGAAGTCCACACACCCGATCGGCATTACCCAACCGTGCTTTCTCTGGTAGTTATATTCGGTCTTGGCGAAGAGCAAACGAGGTTATGCCCGATTAGGTTTTAGCACATTCAGCGGAAGTTCTAATAGTTCTGAGGAAGTGGCGGTTTTAGTTGGGCATTAGTTGTGTAAGGTTTTACTGGATGTATATTACACGTTGTAAGGAGTTAAATTACATGTTAACTAATTAAATGAAATTTGAAACTTGAAGTTTGAAATTTAGTATGTTCATTGGGGTCTACTTTATAGTATTTCACGTAAAGATTGCGAATCTTTTAGAGCTTGAAACCCGTTAACCGTATGAATGGAATTTAAGGTAAACAGTGTGAACGTTTGGATTACAATTCAAAAGAAATAAGTGTTTAAGAACCCTAAAAACTTACGGATTGGTTTGACAGAGAGTATTAATTAATAAGCAATTGTTTTGTACGAAGGTTGTATAAGTTAAAATAAGTGTAAATAATTACTAGTAAAATAACGGCAAACACGTAGAGTGGAAAATCATATATCTTAATTTATAAATTTATTAAAAATATGGTTAAAAGAGTAGCCTATAATTTTACATTATTTTATCAACAAGTAGTTTCAATTTGCTAAAAACTGTTTATTATCTCCAAGGAAATTTGTTTACGTAAGCTTTGCACGATTTAAGTAACTTTATATTATGTGAAATCGCGAGTTGAGTAATTTGAAACTCAAAAAATGTTTGTTTCAAGCTTTTAAAAGCCAGTCTAAGTAAACTCAAAAAATAGAAAAAATAGGGAAAAAAACAATAATAAACATTCGATTACTTAGATTGCAAAAAGTTATTTTAGTCCATCACAAAGAGGGTTTTTGGATTTAATATCGTTCTTATCATTTTTTAAATTAATCATTTTTACTTATAAAATATTTGGGGCAATTAAAAGAATTCTGTAAAAATAATTTTTAAATCAACAAAAATTCTAAATAGAAAATACAAATAAAAATAAAGCAAAATAAACATAAAAAAATTGGAAATCCAAGCTATACAAAAAAAGGAATTTGATAAAATACTACAAAATCTAAATTTAAAACAATACTTAAAAATATAGCAAGTAGCATACTATTTCTAAACAACAAACTATCGAAACAACTCAGAGAAAGGAGGTACCCTAAAGACACCCGCACTCCGCACCTTCAACGCCAGTACTAACACTGCCTCCAGCGGTCAGGGGAGAGAGTGAGAGGAGAGGGAGAGAGTGATGATATCACACTGATTACACTCTTATCACTTGACCTTGAGCCTCCCTCCCAGCAGGGGTGGCACGCGTCTGTTATCAGAGATGTACTGCATACGCCGCTGGTTACCTCACAAAACCACACATGCTCACGGTCAAGTGTCCTATGTTTAAAATATAATTAAAAAGCTAGCAGCAAAACCCGGCGTTGTTGGGTCAAAATAAAATTCACAATAAAGATAATAAAATATGTTTGGTATCTTGAACTTCTGATTCAAACTAACAAATAACAAATATATCAAATTAAAGCCTTTATATATATCTAGAAGTTAAGACCAAGACATACAAAATAACAAAAATAAAAATTTTGTTACGTGTCATTAATTGCAGATAAGTCCTAAAATAATTAATTATTGTTTATTCGTGATTCAGCAGCGTGCTTCAGGTACGTCCGATCTTAATAATCAATAGCTCGAATGAAAGTTGGTATTTCACTGAAGGTTCTTGGACCAAAACATATAGGATAATGTAATTAGAACTGGTGAAATGCATCTTCAATTGCAATAAGAATTCGAAAAAGATCAATTTTTTTGATCAAGTAATACTGTACGAATGAATTAATATGCTTAATGGCAAATCTATGTGAGCATGACTTTAATGGAAGACCACAATTATGAAAATCGGTCGTGTAGAAGAGCAAAACGAACTCGAAAAAGAAAACCCAATTTTAACTCCCATAAGGAATGTTCAAGGAGGAAGTTGCTTTTGTCCATAACTCGTCAGATAAATTAATTCCGATGCTTGGCTAGAAGAGCCGTACCGACTTGGAAAATAAAAACTGATATTTTGTCTAATATATAGATAGGTAAATAAATATCGGTGCTGCTGTTATAAAGTTTTGCTAGAGTATCTAGTAGGAGTTATCGATGCGTCTTATGGATTGTGCAGCTAACTATCCTTAATTGTCTATACTCCTCGTTTATGAGAATCCATCACTGTATGACCCATTGTCAGGGTTTAGCCTCACAGGCACTTGAATGATCCGGGATTTATCCTTGCTTGAATTTCCTGGAAGGCTATCACTTTCATAAGAGCTAATACAGTAATTATAGATTATGCAGTCTTACACCTTTGGGATTTAACAATTCTCGATTTTAAAAAGAAACGGCTAAAAAACGCTTTCGTTGAGTTAAACATGTCTATAAGATGAAATAAGATTCATAGATCACGAATTCCATATATTTTATTTGGAAATTGGTGTTGAAACTTAAATCAAATTAAATAATGAGGTTATGCAGGTAATGTCTGATATGCGGTTTATAGTAACTGGTTTTATAAAGTTTTACTATGATGTATTTTTTAGTTTTGAAATATGAAATTTATTATGAGGAGCCATTGAGAATTTAAAAGCCCATTTCACATTATTAGTTAGGCACTAACACAGCAATATATGCATTTTACATTTATGCAATTTAATATTCGAACAAACACCGTCTCTGTAGTCACAACAACCACTGCAATTTTTCTTTTTAAGATTTGTGTAGAGGTGTTTGTTTAGTCTAATAATCCACTGCAGTAGGGAAGGTTAATACGATTTATAACTTTTTTCGCTTGCAAAGAATCTTTAAGATGTAATAATATGATCCTAGAAATATAGTACTCTTGTCAGTTTTCTTCAAACAAATCCCAAACAGTATCTTCAAGAAAACGTAATAATTTTACGGATTTTAAACATTGCTTATTTGCACAACCACTCAAGACAATTCAACAAATTTAAAACTGTTTGATGTCAGCTCACAACGGTAGAGCTAATTTAAACTGATCGCTCTATTCATATTATAATAGGCCCATTACTTTGAGACAATAGAAGTCAGATCGAGGAGGTGGACCGGCAATGAACTTAAACTTGGAAGAAAGCACGGTTAAAACAGGTCGTTGATTGGTGCCTATCTTGGAGGGCCGCGAAAAAGTGGTCTTGTACTTCAATGAGTAGTACACAATTGTAAAAACTGATAATACTAGATTTGGTAAGAGAAAGTTTAATCATACCTGTCTTTAATTATTCTTCCCCTATATAGTATACTGTTTGTTTTTTGTGTGTTAAACTATTGGACACAGTTTCTGTATTATACATTTTGTGCTTTTAGAATTGTTTAGGGTTTGGTCTTTAATCGAAACCCTAATTTCTGGCCTCATTTTTAGTGTGTTGACTTTTCGTTATTGAATAAAAGTATTAATTGAAGGAATTCGTCTACTTTATCTAAAATGCTTCTATGTTTATAAATTTGTCAGGGATAATTTTGTTGAAAGTTAGCAGTAAATGCATGAACATATGAGTTTACGAAATAGATACTTAGTAATTGCAAAAGTAAAGTTAACATAGCTTCACTGTGTTTAGTCGGGTAGCTGAGAGGTTTGAAAATCCACACAGTTAAACCTGCTTGTTCGCTGTTTCAATTCTGATATACGTTTGAAGTTTAAGCACTTTTCGAAACCAAACATGCCTGCTTTATATAGTTTGACTTTTAATAATCGATTCTGGTTAAATAATCAGATTGTCTTAGTTATTAACAAAGCCTTTCCATTTTTTCGTTCAATTCTCCTCATTTATGTTTGCCTTAGGCTACCATAGTTTGTCGACGTATCGGTCTCAGTTTTATAAAAAGAGCTATAATTGCATTAGAGTAATCACTTTAATCACCTTAAAAGACCCTTTTAGAAAAATATTGATAGGATAAAGTTCATAAGACAAAGCATCAGATGCATGGTTAACGCACACAACTTTCCTTGGTCACGGGGTTCACAGTAAGTAAAAAAAATAATTGTAGAATACCAGGTGCCCTAGACAAAAAGACGTAAGCTTTCCCTAGTGAAATATAGATAAATGGTACACGATTTTTAACTCATATTTACTGACTCATTGTTCCATGCGAGTTAACATTTTACCTGATACTATGACCTTTTACGCATCATACGCGAATGAGAAATACATCTTTTGAATAATTACCTAGATGATGATTCTCTGAGAAAACTAACAAATTACTTGAAACAATCGCAAGTACAGGTGAGTACGAGGATACCACGAGGCCACGGGAAGCGACCAATGACAGAAGCCCGGGCGACGTTTCGCTTGCGTTACAATGCAACAGCCGTCATCAGGGATTAGTTATCAAACTATAACTATATACTGATATAGCTGGATATTATGAGCTGTGATCATTGGATTTTTAATGGCTAAAAAACTGAGGGTCTGGATCAGAAACAATGCTACACAAGGAACTTGTGGAACACACTCATATCTTCCATGCATATTTAGGTAAAAATATTCCTTTACATTTTCGTCTGAGATGCTAGAGATATTTTGAATAAGTAACGTTCCACACTCCAAGACTTTACAATTATGTCTCTTGAACTTTAAGATGTTTTTTAATCCCTCATAATCTTAATAAAAAAAATCTGTAGTACGTAGGCCTACTACTATAAGCATTTAATTTCGAACTTTTTGCAGACAACTTATCCTCTATAGTCTTCATATCTATATTTTATATCTAATATAAATTGTGATAGAGAACTTCTTCTATTCAGATTATTACAAGAACTCGCCCAGTAATAAGTGCCAATATTAGTCACCAGTGTTAGTGTGGTACTAAGTCTTAGTACCACGAATACTTGGAAAGAACCGGTATGGGTCATAAACATAAACAAATAACGTTTTTGGCCCGAAAGTAAAACAAACCATAAGTTAATAATCAATGATATTAGTATAGGGGGTTTGTTTACTTTCGGGCCAAAAACGTAACTTGTTTATGTATATGATCTATACCGGGTCTTTTTCTAGTATTCGTACTTAGTAGGCTACTATGGCTAAAGGAGGATTATTTCATGTTGATCATTTAAACTTTTTTAATGGTCATTAGCATTAGTTTCGCTAATTTACTTATACGACTTTCATAGATTAGGTTAATTTTGGTAATTAGTTTTCGTTGCCTCTTGAAAAATATTTTGGTTTACAATAATTAGCTTAATTCACGATTGTTAATTTCGGCTTTCATGATTTACAATCTTTCTCTTATTGAATATCAATTAAATTTAATACACTCTAGTTTTTTTAGTATTTACACATACAAAAAACTCTTATTGAATATCAATTAAATTTAATACACTATAGTTTTAGTATTTACACATACAAAAAACTCCTAAAGATGTTATACTTTTTATAGTTGCAATTAAAAGTACATAATTTACACACCAAAAACCCCAAATTTGTTTGCTTTGCAGTTATGTGTTTGTCTGTACGTGGATAACACATAAACATCGGTGTTAGTCAAAACACGTGATGATTAATTATGTTTTTGTTTGGCTTTTCTTGTTATTGCTAATATATCAGAAATTAATCCGTAGTGTCATTAATTATTATTGAATGGCTTTCGGTAGAGGAAGTTCTGAAATACGTAATGTTCTTTTCACATGAAGTTATTCTTATATGCTGAACTACAGCTTATAGGTGGTGGACTCAGATCCATTGGATCATGACATTTTCACATAGCTTAAGTTTATTAGCGAATGTCGGGATTCGAACCAGAACCATCAGGTCAGAAGTCCCGAGTTTCCACGATAAAACCTACGTACCGTACCCACACGTAATACAGTAATTTAACATTACTCTTTCATGCGCACCAAATACGTCAATGGACACCTTCGGTCTTGGGTGTTTGTTTTTATTTCCTATGACGTCACTGATACGTTGGTGTTAAATTGCAGTAGAGACAAAGAGTGAGTACTAATATCGTTGAGTATATATACACTATATGCAATAATCAATGCTAATAAGCTGTGTATCTTGTTTGTATAAAAAGTCGTAATTGTCAATACAGTAAGCCGTTATTTTATTGAAACCACTTATATTATTATACATACGAGGTGTTAGCCCGTCCTACGTACGGGAGTAGTCAGTTAAAACGGTGTAGGC